GAGCAGCCCTGCTGAGCCGTGGGGGCTCCCGGGGGGGGACACACACACATTTCTCCATCTGCAGCTGGTGATTTTCAGCAATGAGTTGGATAGGGATGGTCCAGCCTGCAGCCCTTCTAGCAGGCACAGGCTGCAAGTGCTTGAATTTAGTTCCAAGTTGTCACATAGCTTCGGCACCCTGGCGGAGGACAGCCCCCACATCCATTTCATCCTTGTTTTTCACGCTTGCATTTCTGAAGAGTTGATATCGCAGCAATGCAATGGAAAATCTTTTTAGAGAGAGGCAACTCCCCAGTCGTGTCATTCAGCTTAACACGGGGCAGCTCTGGGAGGAAAAGGTCATTGCAGGAAGAGGCGAGAAGCTCCGTGGGTTTGTTCGCACGGCTGGTCCTCGGCTGGCTTGCCTGCTTCCCACCCAGCCTCCCCAGCCCTGCTTAATAAACGTTATTAGGGCGTCCGAAAGATGAACACCACGGGACCAATAAAGACTTTCCCCAGGTACCAAAAATCCCTGAACTTGGGGAGTTTTCTCCTCCTAGCAGTAAGTGATGCAAAGGCGCGTTTTGGGGCAGGAGAACACGCGGGTTCCATTCCGGTGTGCCCCCAGGGGAATTGCTGCTTTCCATCTTAATCATATTTATAAATCCGGGCTTGGGCCCAGCCCTGCTCCTAGTTAGGAGGAGATTTACAGCCTGTGCTAATAGTGAGGCTCCTGCCAGGGCTCCTCTGAACGGCGGCGGAGTCTATGTTGTGCCCAAAGCTTCCTAAGTAAACAGCTCATCTCGGGGCTGCGAGGATGAGGAGGAGTTGGTCGGCGCTTCCCCTCTCCCAGCCGTCCCCGGCAGCAGGAGAAGCTTTGAAGGGTGCGGAAAAGCCGGCAGCGGCCCAGGGGACCCCCCCAAGCTGCAAGGACTGCACCCCGCTGACTGCAGCAGCAAGGTGTTCAGAAAGGAATTTGTGATCGTGATGCTGCTCGGGATCGGGATCAGGATCGGGGTCAGGCTGAGGTTCAGGCTCAGGGGGATGCCTGCAGCCACAGCCCAAGCAAACGAACAAAAGAGCCAACAAAATTCCCAACTTTTTTCTTCCTTCCTGGGAGAAAAGCCAGGGACTCAAGCTGCTCTCTTGGGTACTTCAACCCATCCTTCTGTGGGTGCTGGGGCCACAGCTCTTGGCAGCCCGCTTCCCACCCAGCCTCCCCAGCCCTGCTTAATAAACGTTATTAGGGCGTCCGAAAGATGAACACCACGGGACCAATAAAGACTTTCCCCAGGTACCAAAAATCCCTGAACTTGGGGAGTTTTCTCCTCCTAGCAGTAAGTGATGCAAAGGCGCGTTTTGGGGCAGGAGAACACGCGGGTTCCATTCCGGTGTGCCCCCAGGGGAATTGCTGCTTTCCATCTTAATCATATTTATAAATCCGGGCTTGGGCCCAGCCCTGCTCCTAGTTAGGAGGAGATTTACAGCCTGTGCTAATAGTGAGGCTCCTGCCAGGGCTCCTCTGAACGGCGGCGGAGTCTATGTTGTGCCCAAAGCTTCCTAAGTAAACAGCTCATCTCGGGGCTGCGAGGATGAGGAGGAGTTGGTCGGCGCTTCCCCTCTCCCAGCCGTCCCCGGCAGCAGGAGAAGCTTTGAAGGGTGCGGAAAAGCCGGCAGCGGCCCAGGGGACCCCCCCAAGCTGCAAGGACTGCACCCCGCTGACTGCAGCAGCAAGGTGTTCAGAAAGGAATTTGTGATCGTGATGCTGCTCGGGATCGGGATCAGGATCGGGGTCAGGCTGAGGTTCAGGCTCAGGGGGATGCCTGCAGCCACAGCCCAAGCAAACGAACAAAAGAGCCAACAAAATTCCCAACTTTTTTCTTCCTTCCTGGGAGAAAAGCCAGGGACTCAAGCTGCTCTCTTGGGTACTTCTCACCCATGAGTTTTCCATGTCCTTGTCCCCCACCTTCCCCAGGCAGCCTGGGCACCCCAGCCCCCCCGATCCCCATCCCTCTCCTGCCCTCCGTCTCTGGGGTCAAGCCCTGCGCTGGCACGGCCACATCTCAGGAGAGGGGGTATTGATCCAGCATCACCCCACGCTGTGGCACAAGCCTGCTGCAAAGTTTAATTAATTGATCAGTAAGTGCTCAGAGATCCCCAGATGAAAGAGCCACATAATTACCGAGTATCACCCGGTGGCACTCAGAGTAATTGCAGTAACTGCTGCTCGGGCTTAGCTCTGAGAGGCAGAATTACCTCGGTGTTTAATGTCACCCTCCGGAGACAGACGATATTCTCCCTGTGCCATGGAGAAGGAACTGGAGAGCTTGGGCCTGGGAAACAAAATCCCTCTCTGCATC